TAAAAAGTGGGTGGCAAAATTTTTTGCCTAGAAACATCTTTTGCATATGATATTATTATGAAACATTGTCATTCAAAGTATGGTAAAAAAGTTTGCCCACAGCATGGGAACGCCAACACACATTTTCTTATCCTGTCGGACAAATAATTTTGGCCTACCGAACATCTTATCTTATCTTATTCAGTAATAAATTTTTTCCACCATGTTCTCAGCAAATATTTTTTCCTTGATGAAAAAAAATATCCCCTCTATCAAATACTCCAAAAAATATAACTGCGCACCAAATGATGGCATTTAATTTTACAGAAAAATATTTCTACAGTTAATGCAGATAAGTTATCTGTATTTACTTCCAAAACAATGTCGTTTTGGGATTGAAAGATTAAATAATTATAATTATAAAGACTATAATAACTCTGAAATAAATTAAAATTAAAAAAAACCATAATTTTTCCCCAAAACAACATCATATTGGATTTACTGCAACTCCAGAAAAACTTAATTTTACATGGTGACAATTACAAAACTTTGAGTCTTTCCTTTATTATTTTATCATAAAAAAAGAAGAGAAGTTACAAATTTGGAACTTTGATGTTAAATTTTATCAAAGGTGTATAATATTTATACAAATTTTTTTATTATCATCAAATATAATTATGTACTTTGAAAAGTATTTTTTGTATTTCAACTAAATAAGTCCGCTTTGAATTTGTTAGGGACTAACTGACTAATTTATTTTTGTAAGAAACTAAAATAGATACCGTGTTTTTTGTTAGAAACCAAAAAGGGTATTTACTCTTCATTTTTTTTTATTTTCTGTTTTAATTTTTAATGAGCCCCACTAAAATTTCTGTTAGTAGGAAATTCATATATTCTCCTGCTGAAGAATTACATTACCCATTTTTTACAATTTTGATGTTTCTACAAGAAGGATGAACTGTTATCCAACTAGAGGAGAAATAATTCCTCTTTTAATATATACAGGGGCGGAGTTAGGGGAGGTTAGGATGGGCAGCGCAACCCTTCTCCTGCAAAAAGAATTAATGCAGTTGAAAGCTATATCTGGTACTATTATTACTGTTAATTGTGCTTCTTCTGAAAGTTCTAGTTTGAGATTCAAGTTCTTTGCCTAATGTGTGTATTATGTGAATTGTTTTCTGCATTTTCTTTTTTATTTTCATTTGTTATGTTTTGCTTAATGAAAGCTTTGCCTTTTTTGCTTTGCTCTCTTTATATTTGCATGATTGTGTTTCTCTTTACGTAGTGGTTTTATATAGAGAAAATGAGTTTGCTCTATCTTAAAATATTCACTTTTGGGGTAACTTAGTTGCGGTCTTTTAATTTTATTTTTTAAATTATAGTTAAAAACATTGTTTTAATTAATGTTAATGTTATGTTGAATGAATGCACTCTTTTTTTTAATTATTGCTTTAAAATACATTTTATGTCTGTTGGATCCGACCAATAGTTCATTTTTTAAGTCTTTGAAATGTTGTTAAATGTTAATATTTTGGTAAGAAATTACTTAAATGAGTTCCATGAAAGCATAAGGTCAAAAGGTAGAGAAAACACTAATATTATACAAGATAAAAAAAAATTAATTTTTGCCCCTCCTCCTCTCTAATTCCGGCTCCCCACTGATTATATAGTAATAATCACTTTGGTTTTCTAACCAAAAGTTATTGTCACATTAATCATTCAATGATAATATTATGATTTAGTTGATGATTAGTTTAAGTAGTAAATAATTTTTTAGTTACTATCTTTATTCTATGGAAAAAGTGTGTATCATTTTAAACGATGTAAAGTTGTGTCATTTTAAGTGAGAAAAATAGATAGATCATGGAGGTGAGAGAGTGGACAAAAAAATAAAATTATGGGTCCTACCTCTTTGTGAGAGTGAAATAATACAAGTTGTATCATTAAAAAGGACAAACGTTTTTCCCTTATATATTCTATATATTAGTATTGGGATCCACGTAAGTACTCTCTAAAAGAAAAATTGATATTACCTTAACAAGTCTGTAACTTTTTTACTTAATGAATTTGTAACTTTAATCCGTAAGATTGTAATTTTTTCATAAATTTGTAACTTTTTTCCAAGTCTATAAATTCTATAAGAAAAATTATAAAGTTAACTGGAAATTTAAAAACATATAAATAAAAAATAACTTATACATATTAATTACAAACTTAAGAAAATAATTTTAAGTTTATTCAGATTTTATGAAATTTGTTTAGAAAATACAAAAGTGAAAACCATTAGTAAGGGTGAAATTAGATCGGACCGGCCTACAAGGGCCTCAAGCGTAACCCACTACGAGCCTAACCTGACCCGGCCTTTTTGGTTAACAGTCTAGTCTTGGACTAATTGAAAAGCTTAATTAATAATTGAGCCAGAATCTTAATGTAAGAGACCTGGGCCATGAGCCTCCAGGCTAGCCCAATTATTTATTTTAATAATATTGCTCAGTTGGCCTAATCTCTTTTCATCCTCCAGTAATACTCAAACTCTGCGGTTTCACCATTACCATCAACCCAAACACTTTTAATATCTAAATTCTCCCCAATCTCTAGCGGACTAGCATCGAGATCCCAACCTTGTTCTGATCCTTGCTTCGTCAGTTTATCTACTCGTCCACACAAATTTGAGTTCTCTGTTAATCACTGCTACGTTCCTTCATCGGTTCATCTCCTCCTTCGTGGCTTCTCATTTTAAGTCTAAGGTGAGGTCCCTCTCCCGCACCTTTAAATTTTCTTAAAGCTAGGTCAAGCCCACACCTATAATTTTTGTCAAGTCGAGTCCATTCCTTCGCACCTTTAAATTTCTATCAAGTCAGGTGCACTCTCCCGCAACTTTAAATTTTCATCAAGTCGAGTCCACTATCCCGCACTTTTAAATTTTCATAAGTTGGGTCCATTGTCCCGCACCTTTAAATTTTTGTCAAGTAGGATCCATTCCCCGCACCTTTAAATTTCTATAAAGTTGAGTCCACTCTCCCGCACCTTTAAATTTCTTTCAAGTCGAGTCAATTTCCTCGCACCTTTAAATTCTTGTCAAGTCAGATCCATTACCCCACACTTTTAAATTTCTGTCAAGTTGGGTCCAAACTCGCACCTTTACTTCTCTAGTTAAAGTTAGGTCCAAGCCTGCACCTTTGCTTTTTCAGCTCACGTTGGGTCCAAGCCCGCACTTTTAATTTCTAGCTAAAGTTGGGTCCAAGCTTGTATTTTTACTTTTCCAGCTCAAATCGGGTCCAGCCCCGCACCCTTTTACATTTCGAGCTCAAATCGGTATTATAGCCCCACACTTTTTTATATTTTAAATTTAAGTCGGGATCTCAGTCCTGCATTTGTTTTCCTTTTGTGCCCATGCGCTCATTATTGTTTATCTTTACACCTTAATATCCATCACCTCATATGTTTCCCAAACAAAAAATTGGGTTCACGTCTTTAGTTATTCTTTACAGTGATAATATAAAAATTAGAGTAAATACCATTTTTCGTCCCTGACAATTTTCACGAAGCCCCTTTTGGTCCCCAACAATTAAAAAAGCTCATTTTGGTCCTTAATTTTACAAAAATAGGGCCACGTTTGTCCTTCCGTTAGTTGGCATCTAACGACCCAACTAACGGAGCACACGTGGAACGTTAGTTTGCTGAGTCACCGTTAAGTATGCCAGCGTGAAAGTAATACGACGCCATTTTGCACATGCCTTACGTCTTCTTGGAGTTTTGGACAGCTGACCCTAGCATCGAAGGCCCTATTTGGTCCCTGACAAATTTATCGATGCCCTATTTGGTCCTTAACACTAAAAAAGTGGACATAAACACAGAAGTTGCAAGACATATTGCAGCAAACCACCAACCACAAACCTTTCAAACCACCATTGCAGCAATCCAATGGCCCTATTTTAAATATATGATAGCAACTTAGTGGAACCTCAATGCTTCTAGAACTTTATAATCTATCAATCTACTTCATTCATTGCGAATCTTCTCTGTTAATTGACTTCATTGATAAGTATTGTTGAAGTAGTGTAATCTATCAATCAACTTCAATGCCTTGCAACTTCCCATCTAGCTTGGAGTTCTGTTGTCTGGGATTCATACTATTCTCCATGATTTGGTTTTTTAGGTTAATTTGCATGTGTTTGTGCATATGAAATTTTGTTGTTCTGTTTGTGATTTGAGGTAATAATCTGAAAGTGTAAACCTCTACCCCTGCCCCCATTTTCCTTATTTTTTTGGCCATCTCTTAGTGTGATTTGTTTGTAAAGAATGGATATTGTTAAAGCCACTGTAATTTGTTGCTCCAAACAGATGGGATAGTTGCGAAACCCAAGAATTACAACTTGCATTTGATCAAACTTTTCTGGGTTCTTTGTACAATGAGTACAGGTTAGCAAGTAATTTACTAGAGAGAATAGTCTTTGAAGGTTGGTTTTGAGATAGGAGTATTTATGGATGTCCTTGTATTTTCTCTAATATCTTACATTTAATTGTTTGTAAAGAACTGTAGTCTGTTATCACTAGTTTGTGTTTGCATTTCCATCTAGCTGAACCTAGTCAGGATAGGCAAAATATGAGATGCATTGCATCTCATATTTGAGAGTCATATAGGATTGTAAAGGGAAGGAACATCTTGACATCATCTCTTTGTATTTTCTCCAAAATTTTACATGCAATTGTCAATTCTGTGTAGAATGTTATACTAATTTGCATTAGCATATCCATCTAGCTGATTCTAGTCAGCATAGGAAATATGAGATGCATTGCACTACTTTGATAAGTTTGATTTTGGCTTTATTGATCTATATCCCATGGAACTAAAGCATTGTCCTTTGGATTTGCTTATGAGATGTTTATATTTAGGATGTGCATGACGATTTCCAATGCCTATTGATGTTTTAATTTCTTTAACTGATCTTCTGTGACATGTGACGAAGACTCTAATTTGTGAAGCTTTTCTCTGGGTACTAAGATTACACCCTTTTTTATTTCCGGCAGAAGATGGGTTTCTGGACTTTGTTAGAAGCTTTTCTGCTCTTTGCAAATGCATTGGCAATATTGAATGAGGAGCGCTTCCTTGCTCCAAGAGGATGGACACTAGCAGAAATGACAGGACATAGGAGGAATTCGCTTAAAGGGCAAGTGATAAGACTCATATATGCCTGTCAATTCTTGAGACTTCCCTTTATACTTATCAATATGATCACTATTATAGTGAAACTGTTCAGCGGATAACTTGAACGGAATGACATGGAACTTGTAAACTCTTTTGTGTGTATAATATATAAATTGAGTTATCATGTCAATTGAAAGGGCCAGTGGTTGGTGGTTGCTGCAATATGCCTTGCAACTTCTGTGTTCATGTCCATTCTTTTAGTGTTAAGGACCAAATAGGGCATTCGATGCTAGGGTCAGTTGTCCAAAACTCCAAGAAGACATAAGGCATATTCAAAACGGCGTCGTATTACTTCCACGCTGGCATACTTAACGGTGACTCAGCAAACTAACGTTCCACGTGTGCTCCGTTAGTTGGGTTGTTAGATGCCAACTAACAAAAGGACAAATGTGGCCCTATTTTTGAAAATTTAAGGACCAAAATGAGTCTTTTTTATTGTTGGGGACCAAAAGGGGCTTCGTGAAAATTGTCAGGGACGAAAAAGAGTATTTACTCTAAAAATTATTATTTATATTCTTGTGTACAAAATAAGTAAAGAGGGGCAGCTGCCAACACCTATTTTTGTCCTATATTTTGTAGTTAATAACAAAAAAAATCAAGGAAGGAAGAAAGAAAAGAGAGGTATTTTTGGGAAAATTTGAAGGATGAATTAGAAATGAGCATGTCTTGCTCCGGCTGCGATATCTCCTTCATCCACCATCCGATCGAGCTAAAAAAAATTTTATCAAGATCTCAACCTATTGTTATTCACATCTAATGGTGGATTTGTTGATTGGATGTCCATATCATTTTCAGAAAATTTAAAACTGGAACAATTCTCCTGGACCTTTTTGTAGCGAGCAGCAATTTTGTGAGGGTCATTTCTCCCAAATGAACCGTTGGGTCGTCCTCAAATTTTGTCAGCGTGTTCCTATCATGTGATACTACAATTTGACCAGACCGATTTCTGAAATGAGTTCTCTAATGTGAGATATAAGTTTCAAAAGAGGGTTGTTCATTTTTGAGACCACCATACCGTTTTGGGTAGCAGTTTTCCAAGAGCTATTCTCTCAATTGGACCGTTGGATATTCCTCAAATTTAGTCGATATATTCCTCTTATATGATACTTCAATCTGATTGGACTTATTTTCAAGCTAAGCCCTCTGGTGTGAGATATGATTGTCGAAAAATAGTTGTCTACGTTGGAAAAAAATATAGTTTTCCTAAGAAATCCCTCATTACCCACTTCTTATTCCTTCCTCCTCCTTTCCCTCTATATAAAGAGCTCATTCCCCTTCCTTCCAACACATACTTGGAGACAACCAACACAAAAAAAGACACTTGGGCTTGAGATTAAAATCAAGCTAGTGTCATAGTAATTTTCTTAGTTACTAATTTTTTATTTTCCCCCATTTTTAGGAAAATTGGAGTGGCTCTCCATAATTTGGCTTCATACACCATGTTTTGTTATCTTTAAGGTAAGTTTCCTTAACTTTTCTTTTAGTTAATATTTTTTATTTTTTATGCTTTTATATTCTTTATCGATTTTATTATGAATTTTCTTATGTTGGAATTTTAAATTAGATGTTGTTATTTCTTGTTTATTTATTCTTTTTGTCTTAATTGTTAGTTATTAGTTGTCATTTTATTTTAAAAAAACATATATTATCTTTCATTATGTAGTTAGTTTTTTTATAGAAAATTAATTCATGCAACGATCTATAATGTTGATTGTATGGCTTGTCATCCTTAAGTGTTATGTGCTTCGTAAGAGTTCTCGTATATAGTCGTGCTATCTTGGATTCTGTGCAATGTAGATTTATTTTCCAATTTTTTTCAAAATTAAAATATATCTATGTTTTCTTGTTTTAGTCCACGCAATGATTTACAATGTTGATGTATGGTTTTTCATCCTCACGTGTTGTATATATCATATGGGTTTTCGTATAGCCATGTTATCTTAAATCTTGTACAAATGTGGATTCATTTTCCTAAAATATTATCTTCCAATATTTCAATCAAAAAGATTAAAGTTTATTTATCTAATATTTTTGTTCTAAAATTCTCAATATCCTAAAAGTGATGTACAACGTTGATGTATAGTCTTCCATCCTCAAGTGTTGTAATTTTCGTAAGAAATCACGTGTAGCTGTGCTACCTTAAATTCCAAGCTATGATGGATTCCTTTTCAAAATTAATAATCTTTTCTTAAGGTTATTTTCAAAAACTAAAATCAACAAACACAAATATTTTCTATAGAACGGTGTAGCTTTGAGTTTCTTATTGCATCAAGGGATACGTCAAAGCGGGATCCATCATGTCAAGCACAAAAATAAAAAAAATAGTTTTCTTTTCTTTAATCAATTTTTTTCAATTCTTTGGGGTGAAATAAATATTTAAAATTTTATCAACAATATGCACAATTAATATAAGGTAACCATTTTTTTAAAACAGGCGGTGTAGGGTGCTAACACCTTCCCTACTCGTAATCGACTGCCGAATCCATTTCTATTTTCAAAGACCAATTTTCAAACAAAAAGGATTTGTACAATGTTTTCCCAAATAAATCTTGGTGGCGATTCCATTATTTTTAAACTTTTAACTTTTCGGCGTCACATCGCGATCCAGTTGCGACATGGAGAATTAGAAAGAATCTCTTCTTTATAGAATGCAACAAAGAAATAAGATGCTTCATGTATGTTTACAAATATACTATTATTATTTATAACGAGGGCGATCACAAATACATAAACAAATTGTTATAGACTCATATATGATGCTTATTTACTATCACGCCCAACAAGGAGCAATCTAAATATAAATCTGACATAATTAAAGGAGGATATCCATCAAAGATATCAATCCTAATATGACAACATTAAGCATGGGCTTGGGTTACTAGAAGAGGCACAGAAGGTTCAGAATCCAATATCCACAGGTAAACTCTATAAATAGGAGGTAAAATCTACATGTATAATTATTCTCTCTTACTGTTATGTTGTCATTACGCACACACACCAACCCTTTGGCGAAAGCTGTTCTATATTCTTTGTGCATAGTTATATGCTAAACTCAAGCGTATCTAACTAATAGATACTTTAGAGAGAGCACCTAGATCCAAGAGCAATTAATTAGTCCATTGGGCTAGATATCTCTATCCTCAGGACAGAACATTGGAGCCGTCTGTGGGGAAGACTAAATTTTTATTCCCATAATCACGATCAAGAATGGCGGTTCATACGAGGAGTAGCGGTCAATTGCCACCACATCCGAATCTACCGTTGAATCCTGTTGTAGAGGAAGTAAATCAACCATAGAATCACCTAGAGAACGAGATTGATTTTGATGCTATTCACGTGAGTGAGGACATCTCGGACACAACCTCTACACCTACTCCTCATAATCAAACCATAGATCCTCATCATCAGCCTACGGATGCGGCTGCCAGTGTTGCGCTAGCTGTGGTTACTGACACCCGCCTTGCACAGACAACGTTTACTGCAATTCTAAGGCGAATGGAGGAGATGGAGCAACATAACAATCTTCAGCGACAGGAAGATCTCATGAGGTTTCAAAAGATGGAGGGGCATCTGATGCTGCTAAGGACTCCAGAACACGATGGAGACCAGATCCAAGATGGAGAAAACCGTAGAAGAGAAACTCACAGAGGGGTTCGTCAACTCCGGAATGTCAATGATCAGGTCCGGGAAACCTTTTTTCTCGAATATCACTCCTTTTATATTTAGTGTACTATAAACTATACTCTATCCATTAATCCTTATATCGGATTAACCACAACACAACATTTCATATGCTGACACCAAATTAGAAGCAAAATATTAAACACTCACAACACAGAATTTCAATCACGGCACATAATCCTATCACAATACAGAATTTCAATCACGACACAAAATCACATCACAACATAGAATTTCAAACACAACACATAATTTTATAAAATAAATCAAACATAACACTTTGCATACATATATCAAATAAAACATAATATTTTGCACACAGATATCTAATAAAACATAACATGTTAATTACAGATATTAAATCAGACATAACACATTTAATATATTTCACTCAACAACAACATGTTAAATCACCTTGCATTTACTCATAGCATATAAAATACAATTACATCAATGTACACATAACAGTTCATATCACAATTAATTACAACAAATCATATTCATTTACATTTACTCACACAATAATTCATGGCATTATTAATGACAACATATTGATTTAATTCACACACGATCATGCAATTTATATTATATTAATTTTATATATATTGATCCTATATGAATGCAACTATGTTAAGTCCTAACATTCATAATAGTTATTTCAATCAGAAACCATAACCCACTTGATTACGGCAGAACAATCATGGAGAAGAAAACTCCTAAACCGAGAACTTACCTGTAAAGCTCCTTGTAATTTATTTGTAAACCAAGTTACCCGCACACTCTACGTCCATTACTTCATCTAATTAATAGTCTGGTACAATATATAAAATACCATCAATACATATTACTTGAAATCCAAGTAACTATCACATCACACGTTAATTCAATTACCAACTAGGTAATTCTATTAGTCACTTTGACCACTCTATTTACCTTGACAGTTCATGCGATACCATAAGTTTTTTCATTTAATTCAACATTTAATAATTTGATCCCAACACTAGTTAGTTTACTCCAATTTCAAAATCCAATTATCAAAATATAGCTTTTTAATTAACTACTCATATAGTTAACATTCTTTACGAGGTCATGAAATCTTTCACCAAAAATTACAACATTTTACCATATTAATCTAGATATCTTAAGTTTTCTAACAGTATCTCATACACCTCATTCTGACAAGTACAACTCAAGATATCTCCGTTGTAAGCAAACTACTTAAACCAGTCGTTAGAATAACAGGGCAGCAGACTCTTTCATTTTTCTGAGAATGTTTTCTCACTCATTTTATTCTAATATTTTTATACCAAATACTAAACATCTAGGGATTTAATTTCATATAGGATTCATCCAGTTTGGTTAAGGAACGAAGGAGTTATGGAA